GCCTGATCCTCATTATCATTTTGTGGTAAAAGTGGTTGAAATGGCAATGTTAGCTTTACTGCAGCGTTCTAACCAGGCAGTGTTTATTTCATGCTGCAGTCTAGAGGCATTTTGTGATATTGGATAATGTTAATCAAGAAATAACATGGTTTCCCCTCCATTTAATTTAACATTTATTAGATTATTAATCTTTTTTTTTACACTGCTTGTCTCAAGGCAAAAATGCTTGAAGATTCTTTACGCTCCCAGATAGCAAGGGTAAGGGATAAACAATTGTAATTTAATGTTTTATATTTGAAAGTATTCATTTCAAAGTACTGATGTGATCAATGACATTGGATATATATTGAACAATAGCCTCTATCTGGGCAAAACCATGCATGGATATTTGGCTTTGGATATTGTCTGTTCCATGATATGGACAGTTTGGGAGAACAAAGCTTGAGGAAAACTGTGAGCTTTGACGAGCAGACAATGCCCTAGGACAAATAGACGAGCATATTTTTACAACAAATGAGGCTATTTTTAACCGCCTCCCGGTTAGCTCAATGGATAGAGCGCTGGACTGTTGTGCGGGAGGTCGAGGGTTCGAGCCCCGGCCGGACCAACACTCAAGGTCTTAAAATAATTGAGAAGAATATGCTACCTTTCTATAACATCAAGAAATGGTTAGATATTCTAGTCTTCTCGGATAGGGACGAATAAATGGAGGTCCCGTCTCCTACAGGGTTAGGGGTAGGAGACGTTAATTTCCCACGCACGAGATTACTGTGTGATGGATGCCCTCCCCTGGGGTGGGATGGGCCGGTTAGGATTGATTGTAAAGCGCTGTTGATCTGTCATTGTAAATAGCGCTCTATAAGTGATAAATTGTAATTGTAATTGTAGTTGTTGTAATTGTAATCATGAGCCATGTGCTCACAAGTTATCTAAATAAGTACACTCCAATAATCATAATACCGCGATCTGGATCCACCTCTACGCCGAGACGATATCCAACTAGCCCAGAAACAGGTTCGACATAATTGACTGTTCCTCGAATTCTCGTATACAAATCCACAATTAATACCTTCCTACCTGCTTCAATATCATTGATTGATATAGGCTTGAAGCCCTGTTTGATAGTATCACCTGTAAAGATAGGAGAGAAATTATTTTAATCAAGAATAACAAAAGCAATAGATAATTAAATCGACCATCGCACTAAATACATTCCTATTATCATTTCGAGTTCACTGATGTTTTTCAATTTTCTATACTGTTCAATTAAAGGATGATTTTTCGACCAATAAGGACGCTCGAAGTATTTATTTATGGATAGAGCGATTTCTGGACTTATGGATAGAGCGCCGGACTGTTGTGCGGGAGATCGAGGGTTCGTGCCCCAGCCGGACCAGCACTCAAGGTCTTAAAATAATTCAGAAGAATATGCTACCTTTCTATAATATCAAAGAAATGGTTACTAGATTTTCTAGTCTTCTCGGATAAAGACGAATAAATGGAGGTCCCGTCTCCTGCAGGGTTAGGGGTAGGAGACGTTAATTTCCCACGCACGAGATTACTGTGTGATGGATGCCCTCCCCTGGGGTGGGATGGGCCGGTTAGGATTGATTGTAAAGCGCTGTTGATCTGTCATTGTAAATAGCGCTCTATAAGTGATAAATTGTAATTGTAATTGTAGTTGTTGTAATTGTAATCATGAGCCATGTGCTCACAAGTTATCTAAATAAGTACACTCCAATAATCATAATACCGCGATCTGGATCCACCTCTACGCCGAGACGATATCCAACTAGCCCAGAAACAGGTTCGACATAATTGACTGTTCCTCGAATTCTCGTATACAAATCCACAATTAATACCTTCCTACCTGCTTCAATATCATTGATTGATATAGGCTTGAAGCCCTGTTTGATAGTATCACCTGTAAAGATAGGAGAGAAATTATTTTAATCAAGAATAACAAAAGCAATAGATAATTAAATCGACCATCGCACTAAATACATTCCTATTATCATTTCGAGTTCACTGATGTTTTTCAATTTTCTATACTGTTCAATTAAAGGATGATTTTTCGACCAATAAGGACGCTCGAAGTATTTATTTATGGATAGAGCGATTTCTGGACTTATGGATAGAGCGCCGGACTGTTGTGCGGGAGATCGAGGGTTCGTGCCCCAGCCGGACCAGCACTCAAGGTCTTAAAATAATTCAGAAGAATATGCTACCTTTCTATAATATCAAAGAAATGGTTACTAGATTTTCTAGTCTTCTCGGATAAAGACGAATAAATGGAGGTCCCGTCTCCTGCAGGGTTAGGGGTAGGAGACGTTAATTTCCCACGCACGAGATTACTGTGTGATGGATGCCCTCCCCTGGGGTGGGATGGGCCGGTTAGGATTGATTGTAAAGCGCTGTTGATCTGTCATTGTAAATAGCGCTCTATAAGTGATAAATTGTAATTGTAATTGTAGTTGTTGTAATTGTAATCATGAGCCATGTGCTCACAAGTTATCTAAATAAGTACACTCCAATAATCATAATACCGCGATCTGGATCCACCTCTACGCCGAGACGATATCCAACTAGCCCAGAAACAGGTTCGACATAATTGACTGTTCCTCGAATTCTCGTATACAAATCCACAATTAATACCTTCCTACCTGCTTCAATATCATTGATTGATATAGGCTTGAAGCCCTGTTTGATAGTATCACCTGTAAAGATAGGAGAGAAATTATTTTAATCAAGAATAACAAAAGCAATAGATAATTAAATCGACCATCGCACTAAATACATTCCTATTATCATTTCGAGTTCACTGATGTTTTTCAATTTTCTATACTGTTCAATTAAAGGATGATTTTTCGACCAATAAGGACGCTCGAAGTATTTATTTATGGATAGAGCGATTTCTGGACTTATGGATAGAGCGCCGGACTGTTGTGCGGGAGATCGAGGGTTCGTGCCCCAGCCGGACCAGCACTCAAGGTCTTAAAATAATTCAGAAGAATATGCTACCTTTCTATAATATCAAAGAAATGGTTACTAGATTTTCTAGTCTTCTCGGATAAAGACGAATAAATGGAGGTCCCGTCTCCTGCAGGGTTAGGGGTAGGAGACGTTAATTTCCCACGCACGAGATTACTGTGTGATGGATGCCCTCCCCTGGGGTGGGATGGGCCGGTTAGGATTGATTGTAAAGCGCTGTTGATCTGTCATTGTAAATAGCGCTCTATAAGTGATAAATTGTAATTGTAATTGTAGTTGTTGTAATTGTAATCATGAGCCATGTGCTCACAAGTTATCTAAATAAGTACACTCCAATAATCATAATACCGCGATCTGGATCCACCTCTACGCCGAGACGATATCCAACTAGCCCAGAAACAGGTTCGACATAATTGACTGTTCCTCGAATTCTCGTATACAAATCCACAATTAATACCTTCCTACCTGCTTCAATATCATTGATTGATATAGGCTTGAAGCCCTGTTTGATAGTATCACCTGTAAAGATAGGAGAGAAATTATTTTAATCAAGAATAACAAAAGCAATAGATAATTAAATCGACCATCGCACTAAATACATTCCTATTATCATTTCGAGTTCACTGATGTTTTTCAATTTTCTATACTGTTCAATTAAAGGATGATTTTTCGACCAATAAGGACGCTCGAAGTATTTATTTATGGATAGAGCGATTTCTGGACTTATGGATAGAGCGCCGGACTGTTGTGCGGGAGATCGAGGGTTCGTGCCCCAGCCGGACCAGCACTCAAGGTCTTAAAATAATTCAGAAGAATATGCTACCTTTCTATAATATCAAAGAAATGGTTACTAGATTTTCTAGTCTTCTCGGATAAAGACGAATAAATGGAGGTCCCGTCTCCTGCAGGGTTAGGGGTAGGAGACGTTAATTTCCCACGCACGAGATTACTGTGTGGTGGATTTCCTCCCCTAAGGGTGAGATGTGAGATGGGTGGGTTTACTGGGCCCGCGGTAATTGGCTCAAGCTGTCGCGGTGCCCCTGCCTGTCGGCGAAGTTAAATAAATTAAATATTTGATAAAGAAACATCGTACAGTATGTCCAAACAAATTTCCACGTTTATGACAATCGAAAGAGGCGTTCTACTCCTGTGTCTCACATGTTTTGCCTTGACTTCATTTTTTAATAACGGCCACGCATCTGACAGAGAATGGGTTTCGAGTTGTGAGTTTACTGCTTAAGAATCTATTACCCGTAAGGACAACTTGGAATAATTAATTAGCGTTATCCACGAGTAACAAAAAATGCGCCTTTACTACCTTGTCAGGCAAAAAAAGCTGTCTGTCTACCGGACATTTTGAAGAATGGTTCCTGAAGGTATTAAACAAATTACAAAAGTTCAGAAAATGAACAAAATCCTTAAAATTTCTTATCGTATTTATTACTTGCTATCATGTCGCGTTTTTCTTCGCTACGCCATATTCTGTTGCATAAGGAACCCATAGCCGTAGATTTGCATATTACGTTTGCATCTTAGAATAAAAACAAGTTTGAATCGATTCATTTTTAAAAAAGTAAACGAGAAACATCATTTCAGTCGTTAACTCTAGATGCACTTGTGGTTAAGCAATCGAAGTAACCTATAAGGTCTATAAGGCAGCCATCAGTTATTTGATGAAATATTTGATAGCCTTCTGTTGCATTCAAATGAGCGACTCATAGCGACCGCCACCTCGAATCTGTTGCCATTGTTTTCCGCCGAATAGAAGGCTCTAGTAGTTACTTATGGCTTAGGCACACCATGATCACCCTTGGAAAGTGACTCAGCCGGTCTTTGTCGTCATTCAACTTTCAAGTGAGCTGATTGTTTTCATTTGTAACATGTTTCAGCATTCAGTGATCCGCCCTTACTTGAATAAGTTCTCTAAGCAGATGTTGCAAAGTCTGTGGCCACATCCTCCAACCTATATGGGATCTTTCATTGTTAACTGACACACAGGACATTCAAAATCATCGGGAACTATACTTGTGAACTCGAAATCATAGCCGCCAAGTTTAGGAACATTCTGGCCAGCCGCCATTGTGGGTTCGGTTTCTCAGGCGTCCATAAGGTTCTCTTCTCGAGTATTTTGTTGCCTTCCGTCTCCATATATACTGAAGGAAATTGAAGGCTTTTGGTGGTTTAAATGTCGTAAGTAGCTTTCTACGTTGTCACGTGCCAAGATAGTGAAGGCGTCGTCTACGTAGCGTTTCCAGATTCTGGGTTTATAC